TTTTTTTTTTTTTTTGAAAAATGGCATTGATATTAATGACGTTTACAGTTTGAAAGCTTGCGATCCAGTTTACATAATGCTTCGTTTTCATTCTCATTTTCATATTACTAAAATGTTGATATTCTGATTATTTTGTGTATTTTTTTGCATCTTCATTGTTGATCTGTTACAAACTGGAATTTTTATACTCAAGTACCGAAGATTTGGTTTCTATTCGACTTTTGCGCTCCGACATGAAGTTTTTTTTTTCAATTTCGCATTTCATCACATGAAATCTTTCTCAGACCCGTATTTGGATGATTATTTCAGCTTTGGTGCAAATGGGATAGCGGTTGGCAATTTCCAGAATCGGCGGGTCATGTGGCCCAGGAACTTTCATGCAAGTTGGAAATGTGATGTCTGGTATTGGTTGATGATGACTGCATACCAGTTGCTGTCTTTTGTCAGTTCAATAAATATATATAAAGCTATTGAACGTCTGGTGATGGAAATCATTTCTAAGAATTTTTATGAGAAATCTGTGTCTGATATGCACAGTGACAACAGTGCCCGAAAAATTATCCAGTCGTGAATGAGGAAGGAGATTTGGTATAACTCAAGCTAGTTCTTAGATTTTATGTTTGTTTTCTTTTGAGCTTAGGTAATATTTATGCCGGTTGATTATCGCAATTTGTTCCTTTCTAATCTTGACTATCTGTGAGCGTGTTTCTTAGCCTTCATTTTTGGAGCAAAATTTAATTTCTAAGACCTGACTGAATTGATTAGTCGTTGGATAAGCTAGACAGTTCACTTGCTATGCTAGTGTAATGTACAATATGGAAATCAGCAAACTATTGGTTATCTCTTTTTTATTAGTGATGTGTACAAAGTATTACCTTTTTTGTATGTTTAATATATATTGTTTCGGAGTAAATTTCGATATAACATATTACTGAGCATTTCAGGGCGAAAATATGTGCTTCTTCATTTTTGAGTGTAATGCCATAAGTAAAAGTGTAGGAATATTGAATAAAAGTGAGAATATGAGAAATCTTATTTGTTCAAGGTTATGTGCAGAAAGCAGAGCTTTAGTATGTAGTGTGGTGCTATGAGAGTAAGTGGAGTGACCCATTGATGATGTATGCGCGATTATATATCTGGTAAAGACTTCTTGCAGCTATATCAGATTTGCTTTCTTGAAGGGATCGGAGAGTTCAGGTCAGTGTAGTTATTCTCCTTTGTCAACCATCTCTACTCTTTGCAAGATGGTTACTAATGATTAGTCGTACCGAGATAACAACTTTATTGTGTTCTCTTCTGAAGTGACTCATTTTCAGTGCAATCATTTGGAGCTTCTTTGCTTGTTAACCCCGCAAAAAACATCAAAGTAGTGGATAATAGATATAATACGTAGTGAAAGAAGGATGAAATTAACAGATGTAAATGTGTATTAGTCCTTTTTTATCGTGTTATGAGACTACTTGAATATCTTCAAATTCTACGGCAATCAGTAAAGGTGACGATGTAGTGGTAGTAGTTAGATAGCTGCAAATAATTCACTACCGCTGAAATTATCGGCTTGAAAGATAATATCCGCATGATTTCTTCTCATTCATGAAGATGTGATTGCTGCACTGGAACTAGAATAATAGCACTGTTATATCGTGTTGTCTTCTTGAAATTTAGTTCTGTGAAACGTGAAGCATGCTGAAAATATTTTCGTGTTTTGTTGAAGCTATATCCGAAAGGATAGGCTGTCGGTAAGCGTTATTTTGCTGTTGTATTTACTGAATGAAAGCAGTCGTCATAACGATTCTTATTTTTAAGTGTCGCGTTTCAGCTTTCGGTTTTTTCTCGTTTTAAATCTTTGCATGGGAAGAATGAGTTATCGCAGTGCACATAGCTCATCGCCTTTAAAATATTTGATGATTGATTTTAATGCTGTGTCAAAATGCCGTGAATTATGACTTTAGAAAATTAACTTGCATAATAGTCTGTATTTTTTGCTTTGTAGAATTGATCATCGTGATTAAATCAGTGATAAAAGAAATATTGCTGGTTGAGCAATTTCAACATGAACAGCGATGTACGTTACATTTCTTGCCAAAAATGATATCCATAAAGTCATGACAAGAGTGTTATTCCTACTGTGATAACGAACTGGTAGAGAAATAAACTGTAGAATCTTGCTAATTCATCTCTATCCAGCATCGCCAGTCTTTTTCTGGCCTTTGAGTGTGCATCCATTTGCAGTGAAGATGATAGCAGGTGGTGATAACTTGTTAAATATATCATTTATTGTAATATTGTGAGCAAAGTAAATGTAAAAATTTCGGTACCTACGATTAATGTATTGGGCGGTTTACGTTACTTCTGCCACGATAATTCAAGATAGTAATATTCAGGCTCCATTTACAGTTGTGATGTCATGCTTTAAAAATATTCTGCAAAACTGCGCAAGCATATTCTTGATATACGTTTGAAAATGCAATGTATTAACTATTAACTCTTCTCGGCACTAATTGATTCCAATGGCCAACGACGGTCAGGAGTTTCTGCAAAATTTGCTTATAGTTTGAGCTGCAATGAAATGATCGTGTACTTTAAGCGAAGATTGCATACTGTAGCTTATAATTTCCTGATAAAAATATATTTGATTTTTTTATGATTTCTTTGTACAGCAGTATGTAATGTTTGTTGTGGTAGTTTTGTTTTCAGGAAGATCTGGAGTTTCACGTGTCATTATTTTGCTTCACATGCTTTTTGTCAATTACAGAATACTTTGTTTAAATGTGTCCGCAATTGAAAGTTCTTTGTCTTCGATGTCAAATATGCAGATCAAAATGTTTTGTATCTAATTCGTTCTTGTGTGACAGTTGTGATTCATATTATTCATATTGTGTGCGACCTTTTTTTTACTATTACCTTTTATATCAATGCTGCATTACTAGCATACTTTTTTATGCAAATTGTGGGTTTTCTTTCTTATTGATTCATTTTCCTCTTATTTCATCGTTTAGTTGCAGCCTGATACATTAGTCGTTATAATATTTAGCGCTTTGTAGTCTGTCAAGTATGTATATCTGAAATTCGTAAGTCATTTTATACAAACATAATTTTTTATTCCGAACAAGCACTTTTAGGACGTGTTTTGAACGAATTCATTATAAATTCCAACACGGCTAGCATGTTTTCACCTCTATACTCTGCTGGTTGGTTTTCATTTTTTTTGAAGCTTCTGTTACTTCTTTCAGAAATCAGATATGCATAAATTTATTCATGGTTTACATACTAATCAAAAATTGTGTTGGTACCTTTAGGTACTACGATAACTTAATAGGTTTTGTTATATTTAGGAGGAGTACATGTGCCGCACCCTATGTTTATGTCTTTGCAAGGCATCCCAAGTGCTTCACGAATTCCTCATGTACCCGCATTCCATCCCTTCACATATTCTCCGATGGTACCAAATGGTTTGCATCCTCGGTACATCAATGTTTATGGAAATCCTTACAACGGAGAGGGACCACCTCAGTTGCGAAAGTTATTTATTGGAGGCTTAAGTCATGAAACTACTGATGATCAAGTGAAATTTATGATTTATTGCAACTAAATAGTCATCTAACAAATTCATTTTAATGAAGATTAAATTCTAAACTCGTGTAAAAATCGAATTATTCATAAAGGGTTTCTTTTTTTTTCTTTTCAGGAGTTAATACGTTTTCATTGCTTGCTCCTAATCAGCTTGTTATATCATACTTTCACCATTATAAAAAATTCTGTTTGAGTTACGGCAATATTATTCGCAGTGGGGTACAGTAGTTGATTGTATAGTTATTAGAGATCCACAGACAAAATATTCACGGGGATTTGGATTTGTGACATTTGCGACGATACAAATGGCTGAATCTGCAATGGCTAACCGACCTCATACTATAAATAAGAAAGTACAATCATCTCTGCTTTTTATTACAATATTTTATTGTTACTTCTATGGTGAAAATATTAATATTCAGAATTGTACTACTATTATCAATTTGAGGTTGTTGATCCAAAGCGTGCAATACCTCGTGAACATATGTCACCTCTTCTCCCTAATCACCCTCCACCATTCCTGGAAATTGAACCTGATCCAGGATGCAAGTTGTCTCTGTCAGGTAAGATTTCACTGCTTCTTAATTACGATTCCAAAATACAGAATGCGATTTTAGGAATTCATTGGGCTCGACACACTGTTGATGATTTGCGGCAATATTTTGATAATTTTGGAACTGTTGAACAGGTTGAAATATTGGGTAATCCTCGAGGTCTCGGATTTGTTGTTTTCGAGTGCAAATCTTATGCCGACAAATGTTTGGAATATGGAAAAATTCATGTGATTAATGGTCAAAAGTGTGAAATCACTGTAAGTATAGCTTTGGTCTCATTTTATTCAGAGAATATTTTATTGTCATTGAATTTATTAAGGGATTTTCTGAGATTTTGAGGAAGAGATTGAAAAAACTGTATACAGTTTGCCTTTTATAATTTCTAAACTAGATTTTTAATGACTTTTTTTTCTGGATTTAAGTGATGAGCTTCTCATATATTCTGTTTCCTAATATAAAATTTTCACAGCGTGATATGATGGAAAAACCCAAACATGGCCGAAACAGTGTAAACTCTTTGGATTGTAATTTTTCGGAAGTAATGGATGAACACATGGCCTCTGTTAGTGCTAGCGAGCAAGAAGTATTTAACAGTAAACTTTTGAAGCCTCCTGAAGATGGCTTTGCTAATAGTTTAAGCGTAGCAGAAGATGAAAAGCTTTGTTCTTTGAATAATATTGAAACGCCTCTGAGACTCAAAGGAGATGCAGAAGGCAAAAAAACTGTAGTAACTGACGGCAGTGGTTCAAGATTCTTTAGGGAAGCTATGGACAAAAAAAAGTTTAATAGTAATGGTAATATTATTATCAGTCAGTAAACGCTGGTAAAAGGTCAAGAAAATCCGACAACTAAAGATTGAATGCATTGAAGAAGTATTACATTCTTCTTGTTCATATTTAAATTCGGTTTTCACATGTATTTTGTGTGCCGTGTCTGTAACTTGATTTATTCATTTTTCAGTGACTGAACCTTTTATTTGGCTGCCTTATTAATTTGGTGTTGTGTGGGCCAGGAATCCCGAAGTCTTGAAAATTCCTTGGCATTTATTGGCTCTGATGCCATTTTTGACATTCACTATGACGACTAAGTCTTGTTCGTTATAACAATTCTCTATTATAATTTTTGCTTTGTCCATACTTCAAACTTCTTAATGGCTTTTACTAGTTCTGTAAGAAGTTTCATTAAATGTGGATTGTCATGGAAGAATTAGCTACACCTATAAGTTGTATTGCCCAAGAAGTTTTCATTTAATTTTGTAAGTGATAACATCTCTTAATTTACTTTTGTACTAGTACGGTTCATAATTTATTTTTTAAAATTTCCGTCTCGTTATAATTATTTATCAAGTACAAGCCATTTCATATCTGTGATAGATTTTAACGCATCATTTTAATATATTGGTGTTTTTGAAATATCCACTATTTCTCGTTATGTCTTAGACTTTGATTTCGCACGTACCTCACTTTTATGTCATGCATAAAAAATATGCTTGGATGTGCTCTTAGGCAAAAATTTACATGATTATTCTGGGGCATTTAAGCGGACTTGACTAAAATTTTTTTAAGCCATTGAGATTCGACTAAAAAAATATGCAAAGTTAGTGTCTTTCATTTCGATGCATTAGTCTCTCTTGTGATGTTAACTGTTTATCACGTGGGCTACAGACTTACATCTCAAATTTCATGATCGCCTTGGTTTTGAGGAAAGGTTTGTCACATGCTAGTATCCTGTCATTGATAAGTTTTCTTCGTTCTTGGAGATTGTAATTTTTTAGCTCCAGATTTGCATTTACCCAGTTCTCCCTTTTCTTTAAAATTGTAGCTCTAGGCTTCACGTTTGTGGCCTGCTCGTCTGCAGTTCGTTGGAGAAAACCGGACCCATTTTCAGGATATATTCAGCTTGCTCAGTGTTTGCTCTCATGTGCTTGTAATGCCATGATTGTTGTAATTACTTTTTGATGTTAAACTAAATTATTTTTTTTACTTCATTATTTCAATCGGTTGGTTTTTTACATTCCTTTCTATGTCTGTTCTATGTTTAATTGTTAGAAGTGGTATCATATAACAATGTACTTCCACTGTAATTTGTAAAGAGAACTCCATGGGATATCTTCAATGTCAATCAGTTGCTGTAGATAAGAATGGTGAATTTATCGGGAATATTTTTTATGCCAAATGAAAGCTTGGAAATGAAGCTTATCTACACTATTTGGAGATCAATACTGTTGGATTGCGTCAACATCTTTTATTTTGACTAAATGTGTAACAGCAAGTCACATTCTGAATGTAGGTAAAGATGTTTTTGTTTTTTAAGACACGTTAAAAAGAAGACTCAATTGGTTTATGTGTACAGGATTTTTTGTAAAAATTATGCTCACAATTAGACTACTGTGGTGAAAGAGATACTTTATATTCAGCTGATTAATTAAACAATAAGTGGTTATAATAACGTGAGCAATGCATCAGACCTGTCCGGCACATTTCAAGCGTCCTGAAATAAATATAAGTGTTCTAGGAGGCGAGGCTATCGATTAATGCAGGTGAGGTATGATAATGTAATTTAGTAGTCATAGTATACACATTACAGAAACTGAATGTAGTCAGAATTGAGAAATTTGTAAACTGTTGATATGATAGAAAACAGCTTTAATATTATTGTGTAGACAAAGTGATTAACCAACCTGGCAACACACATTCGGTCGGCTCTTTCAAAATTAGCCCGTACTAATTCATAATATTGACCATCAGAGAGTACCATTGAGTGAAGTTTTAAGCATTTCATTCGAATAATATCGATGAATTTACTAGTGCAGAGATGAATGAATTATTGAAGTACTCAGTATGAGTTTAATTTGTAATCAGAATTTGGAAGTCTATTCGAAATTATCACTAAGAATTCCTATTGTATCATCACAAGACTTACCTTGACTTGTCACTGAATCTTAAGGTCTCATCATCCCAACGAATTTCAAGACGGCAGAGCTTAGGACAGTTTTGTGCAATGCAGTCAATAAATTGATCAATATGAATTTTTGCAAACACTTTTGAACAGCAATCTTCGGCGGTTCCCATCACAAGTACTCTGAGAATTTACATCACATAATTTATAGTATGATGAGAACTCGGAAAGTTTAAGAAGAAAAAGTATTCTGATCCTCAATGAATTGTTTTTTACTCATTTTAAAAGTGCGCTAGCTGAAAGTTCTTCTTTTGTAAAATAATTATTAAGTATAATATTTGTGATATTTCAATATTTCTAAATTTTATTCCTCGTTAATTTATTAGAACGAATGATGTGAATAACTTCACTTAATGTTTTTCAGTTTTGGGATCACATTTGTCCAGAAATATTCAAGTAATTTATGATGTCCTCCCAAATTTAAACCAAGTAACTGATGACCCATTCTAGTTATTAATTCTGTTAATGATGCTTCATTCAATGAATCACAAGTGTCTAGATTTAAGTATTGCAAGTTTGAAATAGATTCTGAGTTAATCCATGTTTCTAGAACCTGAAAAAATATAGTCAATCGAGAGTGCAACCTTATGAAATTATATAAATCATAGTAATACAAACTATATATCATCTTAATTAACTTTTAATCATACCTGATCATTCATGTTTTCAAGCCAAGATGCATCTAGCCAAATTAAATGTTTTAGTCGTGTTAACATGCTAATTAAAGCGTCAGAAGACAATTCAGTACCACATACATTCAGTTCTTCAATACGTGTTTTTTCCCATTCGACAGCTTTGATAATTTCATCATCAAGAGCTAAAGTTTTACTTTAGTTTCTCCAGTTAAGCTCATACATAAATCAATTCTTCATAGTCTAAAAACTAATCTAGTATTAAACTATACCTTATCTTAGTTTCACTTTACTGCATAAATATTGCAAGTTTTACAATTTGAGACCATTACTAATGAGTTTTCATTTGATCATTATGAAACAAAGAAGCAGTAATTAATAAAAAGCTTGTGTTTCAAGTATTTAAGGGAAATAAGAAGCAATGAAATTGAATACTGATGAACTCAATTACTAAGAAAAATTTCGGGACTCTATTAGTAGTACAAACAAACTTGAAACTTGAGGGCTTGATTTTTCTTCGTGATAATATTTACAAAGTTTATGATTATAAAGTGATACAAAATGTAATTGCATTTTAAATTAAAACTATTTTAAATAATTAAATTAAAAAACAAACATGCATGTGCAAGAAGAAGACTTTTAAGTTTTTTGCAGCGTTGTAATGCAAGCCGAAGACACGAACCGGTAACTTTTGTGCAATAATTGACGCAGAGGCATTCTAAGTGAGCGCAATTTGATGATATAGAATCAACATGCTCATCTGTTATGAATGGCACCTACAATTTTGTATTTGATTTGCTTTCCAAATATATGAATTTTAATTTGTAATACTTATTATTTCAAAGCTGCATTATTTCATTTCAAAGGCATAATGAAAAAATTAAACAAACTTTTTACAACAACATATGCTACACAAAAATAAAATTTGCGTCTAATTTTTTTCTTTTCAGAAATGAATTAGAGATTGCTAAAGATTACAAAAAATATTGATGAAGTATAAAAATTTTTGTAAAAGTTTTGAAGACTTGATTTAAAAATATTTAAAAAAAATTGAAGCATAACATTTTGAAGAACAAAAATTGAAAAAAAGAAGATGCCATGCTGTTATTCAAATAAAAAAAACTAACACCCCACAAGTTTACAACACGGAGATTTGGCATGTACTGCTTTAACTTGTGTATGTTTACTGTTTCATAAACTTCTTCTTCTTCATCTTCCACTTTTTCATATGTACCTATAAAATTTGTATAAATATTGGCATGCAGCACTTTATCTACTTTGTTTAAAACTAAAAGCTCAAATTTCATCGCTTAAAATATATTTACTTACCAATAATTTGCAGTACTTCCATTGAAGAGATAAATGTATAAATCTTCCTTAGAAAACCTTCTAAGAAAATGTTTTCACTCAAACATATAGTTAATGAACGCAATCGACTTGGGAAGCTTTGTAAGTCAGTGAAATCATGCAGTTGCATCGCTGTGGAAAAATCTATATATAAACCAGCCATTAATAGTTGAACAAGAATAATTTAATACAAATATAATTCATTTTTTGGGATTTAATACAAGTATAATTTGCACTAAAATTTTCGTAGATCTCTCATATAAATTCATGTTTCGATCACACATTTTGTTAATTTTAAATAGGTAGCAGAGGAATTACTTAATATAATTTTTTATTAATTATTAAATTTTAATTGTTCATGACTTACAAAAAAGAATGAAAGAGCGATATTTATGAGTTTTTATTGGATAAAAAGTTGATACTTGAATTTTGTTTCTTCATATTTCTATAAAAATAAAGATACCTTCAAAAACTGTTAAGATGCATAAAAGTTTAACAAAGTTATTTTACTTTTATCATTTATCTTTGATTAGTCATTAAAACATAAATGATTAAGAAATATTTGCCTAATGTCATAGACCAAAGTCGAGGACATCGAGCAGCTAACTCATGAAGCACATTAGGTGTTATTAAGTCAGTTGCTAATTCAATTACCCGTAACTCCGTAAAACGTGATCCAATTAGGTGCAAAAAGTAATCCTGATTGGTTACCTACAAAAGTATCTTTATATTATAGCAAAAAGTATAATTGATTCTTAGCAACAAAGTGCTTGATAAATTGCGTATTCTAGTGTTCGTTCATTGACAGCAAAATGATACAAAAAAAAAAGTAACAAGAAATAATCTGTACAGTTTTAAAATGAATCCGGTGAACAGGAAAAGTAAATAAGATATAAGAGTAAACCTGTAATCCACCATAAGATGGTCGGAGAGAGATAAGTTGCCAGAGTGATGGACTTTGAGCAATGTTTTTCCATCTTCTACAAACTTGTCCAACAATGAGCACTTGGTAAGGTGATAAATAAGTGAAAATTTCTTGAAGCACTTTATCTGGCAGTTTTTCAATAGTCTATAAATTGAAACTTGCTAGTAAAACGACATATGTTGTATTAATTATGTGCTAAAATTTTGCAGTATTATATTAAAAAAATAAACCTTTGATATACTTATATTGTTAAAAGGATTCATTTTTTTTCTAAAGATTTTTATTTTTGAAATTAATTTTAGAATTAAATATGCTTTACTTCTTTCTATCACGTACAAGAAAATTATCACAATATTTTATCGATGCTGTATGATAAAAAGCAGAGAGTTGAATAAATGAAAAATTTCGATTAGCTGTTATAAAATGATTAAGGGTCATATACTGTTTTTTTAGGGTCACATAGTTCGATTTTTTTGCATACAGAAACAATATGAAATGTAATAAATACCACAGTAATGACTAACAACAACATTGTCTAATAAAATTGCTGGTAGATCTTCTTCTTCTTCCAATTTTTTAGAAACAGTATCAATCCGATGTTTTGTCAAATGACGAGTCATATCATAGAGAGCGGCCATTTTTCATTAATTCGATTTTAAAACGAACCATAAAATTATGTCTTCATTCAAATAACAATGATTTTGACACTATTCGATAACTTTTAATGCATTCAAAAATTACTTGGAAAAATAAGGACTCTTCAATGTTTTTTTTTTTGATTCTACGGTTCCAGAATTTATTTTCCTTGTACTTCCTTCACCAAAACCATAAGAGTAATGAATTAAGAATTTATTGTATTAGCACAGAATAAACTTTGGTCTAAATGAAATTAATGCATTTATAAATTGTTTGGATAAAAACATAAATTCCGATCCGATACTGTAAAGTCAAAAAGAACTCGAATAATTTTGTCATGTCGTACTGTAATGACTACGAAAAATTTGAAATTCATAACAAAAATCTGAGACACAGTAGTTTTAAATTTTAGAATTCATTCATTTTTCACAGCAGAACATTTTCTGCCTTTTTTTTTAAATTTTTTTCAACTTTAAGCAATAGCAGAATTATTTGTAACTCAAAAAAACAAAAAAAAGAAAAATGAAAGACAGCAAAATTCAATAACAAAAATCAAGAGATAAATGAGTTCAAACGCATACAGTGGATAAATATGATTAAAAACTGATTGAGTGAAAACATAATAATATGATAGTACTTTATGAAGAAAAAAAATGACCCTAGAAATAACGTTACGTTGAATCTTCAAATCAAAGTTGATAAACATCCAAGCTTACTCTGATTATGCTAATAACTATCGCAACTTTGACCAGAAGTAATCTAATTTTAGTACAAATAAACGAAAGCTGTTAACTTTAAATAAAAAAATGAAAAATCATATTTACTGATCATTTTGAAGTAAGTTTGACTTGTCTAAAATTCTTAATTAAATAATTGTGAAGAGTACTTGAAAAAAAAAAGAGAATTATTATGGAAAACATGATTTAATGTTATGATTTACATCGTTCGGAAGCCGAAAATTGTTCACAACTTTTTTAGCATATATTCAAAACGACCAATGCGCTTTTGCACATAGATCGTCTAATTTTTTAATACATTTAGTAAGAATGCTTTCTAAAAAGTTATGCTTAGAAAAAATCAAAACGATAAGAGATGTGAAATGTTATGGTTGTTAATTTTTGTTGGTGAAAATTGACTGAAATTATGCAAAGCATACTTAAGATAACTTATCTCAATATTTTCACTAATTTGGAAGTAAAAATGGAAATGAAGCAGTACGAAAGGCTAGAAGGAATATGGTATGCATGAATAATATATCATTAGTTATATCATGTAAGCAATTTGCTAATTAAGAATATTAGGGCTATTAAACTCTATAGAATCAAACTATGAGCAGTAATCAGTGAATTATTACCTTTCATAAATTCCTTAATTTTCTACTGCTTTAATATTGTGCTAAAAGGATGGCATTCTGAAATATTTTAAAACAAAGCTGGGAAAACTGTAAAATACTAACTAAAGAATGGTCAGACAATAATCATATTGATAACGAGCATTAATAGATGAATAGCAAATTAAAGTAGACATCAACATTTTAGAAGCAGTAAGAATCGTGTAAGAGTGCTTTACAGAACTCAGAATATGGTACAGTGAAATGATGGCACGTAAGAAGCTATCTTTTTCAGATCCAAAAAAAATTTATTTATTGATGATTAGTTGTAAAGGTATTGGTCTGCATCTCTTGGAAAGTCAAGTCATTAATCATGACACGAAAAATATTTACAATCATATGATTTTTTACTTTTAGCAAAGAAAAATTATTTATTAGCTGCAGTTTAAAATTGTTTAACGTTGTTTGTTTCATTGTTTTCTAGTTAAATAAAGTTACTATAGTTTTATATTATCAAACTCTGGTAAACTTAACTAGTTATTGATAATTTAGAAGTATAAGTTGCTATCATACGACAATATTTTACTTATGTAATTACTTAGAAAAATGATTGCATATTTTATACATGGTGCAGGAATGTATGTACCACTCGAAAGCATACTCGATAGAATAAATTTTTAATTTCTTTCATTAATATAGCAATATTTGTGAGCAATAGCTAATTTTTATACTGATGTAAAAAGCAGCAACGATTACAACTCAAAAGATTTAGCAGACAAAACTAATCAGTAATTGTAGAGAGTAAATTTTAACACACATGATGATTGATTAATATGTATTAGTTCTTAGTTTACCTGCAATTTTCATCAAATGAGAATTAATTTTTAATATGAATGTAAGTGATAAAATGCAAAAACAAAAATTGAATTTGAGACTTAATAAAGTGAAAACACTTCAGGCACTTTAGGATTATGAATAATAAAAAGCAAGTTAAAGCAAAAAAGGAAAAAATTGAAAAACAAAGATTTCTTGAAAAAAATAATAATTACAAAAAGATGATGTATTAAAACAATGCATTCAGATCAATTGAAAATAATTAAGAGTGTGGCTAAAAAACAAAAAGTAAATATTAGAGAGTAATTTAATTTTAAAATTTATTAAAATTAATGAGTTAATAACACTAGTGCATAGAATTCTGTGCTAAACAATAGCATCATAACTTGTGCTACATTAACAGACTAAACTAGATTATTTGGACAAAAATGAAAATAGCTAAAAAACATTACATAGTTGGTTAATCGTAAGTAATAGTAGTCTAGCAAGAAGGATAATATGCAAGCATTTGTTGCTGGCATACACCGTCCTCATCTTTCAATGTTGGTGTATGTGTAATTTGAAAAACAAAACACCTCAAAACTTTTTTTTTTCCCTCATCTTCTACTCTTATTGCTGCTTTTTTATCCATCATTTATCACTTATAAATTTTGTTATTTGCTATCAGCATCATTTTTATAGATTAACAATTGTCACATCCATTGCTTGCTTACTTTTTTTTTTACCATTTACTACCAATTTTATTTTTGTACTTTTTACTTTATAAATTCTTTCTCTTTTTTTTCACTTTTAACTTATTAATAAAATTTTTATTCCTCCTTGAAATGACAAAATTATTTTTTGAATTAAATTTAAAGCAATTATGATATTTTTAAATTGTATTCTACTCAAATTATAAAATAGTTATATCATCTTTTTATAAGATTTTTCAATTGTATGATACTTCTTTGTTCATAGTATTATAATATTACATCCTGAATGATTTCTTGTAAAAAACTTCGAACAGTTAAAAGCAATATAGTTTAAAATGAATTTCAACTGACATGCAAGAGTGAAACTGATGCAAAATAGCTTTATTGAAGCACCAAGCGTTCTGATTATGTATCTTATCAATGATAAAATGTGTGCATACAAAATACATCACTACCAAAGAGATTAAATGTAACTATCCGGATAAGTGCATAAAAATTTTTCCAAATGAAAATTTTCAGCATACATTGACGAAGCTTAAAATTTTCTAGTATTTTATACATAAATTTTACTGAAATCGTAATGTTTGTTGGCAAAAGTTTTCTAATAATCATCGATATTTTAATTTACATATTACTTGCATTAGAAAATCTTTTTATAATCATAAATTTCTTAATATATAAACCTTATTTTCATTTCAAAAGTGAACACTTTTTTTAACTTATAAAAACAATGCTAAACTACATTGCATTACTCTGAATCTTAATTTGTAATAATAATAAAATCATAATTATTATTAGATGGATGACGTCCAGTCATGAATTTAGTATCAGTGAAATGAAAATTTGTCTCTGCCGTTCATTCTATAGTTGAAAACTTATGTCACTATTTCAAAAATTTACTCCATTTTAAAAACAATCTCAAAGAAAAATCATACTTTTCGTTTTTTTTTTCAAATATTTTCAACAATTGTTTTTTGACGAAAAATTGATAAAAAACAATAATTTTCGCAAAAATCGTTAGCCATGTTGAAGATCAATTACTTTACTCATCATAAACTCTAACAGGTGATGTTAAGACTAGCTAAATTAGTAAGAACAGCTGCTTTTTCTCACAATCTCGATGTCAAAACCAAAACATTTTGGAAAACAGTGACCGTATAAAATCTTTGTTTTGTTCAGTGATACAGTGATTTTCAGCTATAATTGAAATATTGTCTTTGCAAACTTTCAAAAAATCTCATTAAAAAAAAATATTTAATACAGAAAACTTACAATTGACACTGAAACTCCAGTAATATTAGCTGCTGTATTTCGTCGATTCATTGCTAAGGAAGAAAACAGTTGAAAATGCAGCTAATACGAAGAAATGTGAAATTGGATAAGTGGTGGAAAAGAAATGTTAAGAAAAGTTTTCTTTTTTTTTTCTTTTTTTTAGCAACTAATAATGTTGATTCAACAATTCAGTCGGTGCGCTTTGGTTAATAAAAATTATTAGCTGTACGATAATTCTTTTTGAGAATTAAATATGTTATTTTTTATAGTACCACAGCAATATGTTACGGTGAAATAACAGTACTTGTAGTAAATGAAAATTATTACAGAAGATCACTATGATAGTAATATATTTGCTATTTTTCGCCCTTAACAAAGCAGAAAAAATAAAGGAGAGAAAGAAGTTAAATAGAAGAATTCTGTTGACATTTGAATGAAGTGGATTTATAAGATATCAAATATTTCTGACCAATTTATCAAAAAACTGTACAAGGTAAAATCGTTAATTGCATTAATTGCATTAAAATTTTCTGATTGAAATTTAATTTTAATTTGTATAACATTAAACAACATTATTACTAATCAATTATGAGCTTGAATCAAATGATTTTTATAATAATACAAAATTTTTTTGAATATTTTATCACATGACATTTTGAATGTATCCAACGCATATTTTGCAATATGATGCAGTTAAGAGTAGCACTTCAGAAAATGATGAAAAATTAGAATAGCATTAAATGAACAGTTTTAAATTCATTGTAATGAAATGCATAAATAAAAAACAGAAAAACAAAACACATTTTACTAGAAAAGCATCGAACTCGCTTCTATTTGCAAATGTTTGTTGCATTTTTTGCTACAAAAATTTTCTCGCATTTTTAAAAAGATTTGAACACTTTAGTTCTTTGTAACTAATATAAATTTTAATTACTTCTGCATCTAAGGAACTAAGCATTTTTTTTTCTTCATTTTCTGCCCAATATTTTAACAATCCTTTGATTTTATTCATACAAAAAATCATTTTGATAGTAATGAGTATAATCGAAATCAAACTTGAAATACAAAAATTAATGCTACTTATAGTTTTTGAGTAAAATTCATAAACTGAAATTCTATTAGCGAAATTTAAATTTATTTCATTACAGTTTTGTTTCATATTTTCACTAAAAATGATCCTTCATATGACTAACAAGAAACAGAATTAAACCGAAAAAATCATAACTTCGCTTGTCCAATCGTTGTTTTAACTTTAATATTGCTATAAATAATAAATGCATTTTTAAAAATAATTTTTACTCAATACAACTTTCATTTCCAATTATCATAAAGGAAAAACTTTGATTTTTACTAATTACAACTAAACTGATAACAATTCATCAGTTAAAATTCTCACATTTTTAAAGCTGTGAAATGAACTTACAGGCAATTTGGTCATAATTAAGGCCAAATTTATTCGCCCCATAGCTTTCATTTTGGCGTAAACTCGTCTTTTCTTCTTCCTCCATTCTTCACTTTCACGAAAGTGTTTTTTACTCGCTGTCCATGGAGTTCCTTTCCTGGGTTCTTGATTCTGCAAGAAATTTAGATGCGTGTCAATTTCTTAAACCAGTAGCTTCAAACTTAAATAGATTTCATATGTTTTTTCAATACTGCATGTTTTGCTTTCTCATGCAGTGATAAAAAAAATTAATGCCACTTATAATTATAATTTTTCGATTATTTGAAAAATCAAGATTGTGAGAGTACTCTGATCATCAAACCTTTCGGAAGTCAAAAAAGTGAAATTAATTCATGATTTAAAATCATACTTTTTAGAAACGAACTAGCTAAATTGATTCCTAAATTTGCAAGTAAACTTATGATTCGGCAGTTGATGAACAAAAATATCTTGAATAACTCAGAAATGAAGTCAAAGAACAATTTTTAGACTGATATGGAAAATAAAACAGAGTTTAAAGCTTAAAAATAGAAATGTGCCATTGTTGAAGATATCATTTAAAAATTAATTGCACAAATGGAATGAAAAAAGAGAAAATAAAATGTACAGGTCTTGAAAATAAAACTTTTTTCTTTGGAAAAATTTTGAAAAACTATTTAAAAGTTTTGGTTATTTATTTCATGTCAAAGTTGCTACAGATATTTTTTATCTCTTCTTACTACTTCAATCTAAATTCTAGAAAAGATGCCAAGATTATTGTCAGCAAATTTTTTAAAACTGTGAGATTTATAATGACTTCCTGACCACAAAACCATTTATTATAAACTTTTCTTCACACACAATAATTATGAAGAGTTTAAGAATAAATATCAAATAAAATTTATGGAGAGAATAATTGAACATATTACACAATAAATGCTGCTTTTAAAGAAGATATATGATGGCATAAATGACAGGAATAAACGGTCTGTAATATAAACTCGTGTTTTAAATTTGCAAAGAATAATTATGGTAGGGCAAAAGTTCATTTCAGCAAACTTATTAGACTTGAAATAAGTAAGATATCAGGACATTATACTCATGTATTCATTTATAAAAGTTTAAAATTTATAAAGCGTTTTAGTGTAACAAAAGTTTGAAATTTAGAAAAATTTTATTTTTATCACTACTTAAATTTCGCAAATACAAATTGGAATTTGCTAAATAAAAATCCAAACAAGTATGATGCGCGAAATTGGTAGCTAATTCTGTTTCGAAGGTAAACATATAATATTACACTACAGATTAATAATCATAAATCTGAGTCTTTCATTGTTTAGGCAATATCTACGAAATATGAAATAAAATATTTACCTGACACATCATCATTCGACTAGTTAATTCGAACATTATCAGACTGGTTTCTTACAGTTAACTGGTAAGTCTCGATTTGTGGTAAATCGAAGCTAATAAGCAACAATATATTTAGCTGTAAAGTTTAATATCTTATAGTTTGAGAGAATAAAATGACGATACCAGAAGCAAACAAAGTTCACTAAATAAAATGGAGAAAAATTAAAATATAGTCCAATTTATTCTTATTATAAGTAAAAGTATAAAGATAAATTGCAATATCAACTGCTTGAAAGTAAAAAAAATCAAAAATTTTTAAATGTAAAAATGAAGTTGTGCTGCAAAAGTTGACAGTCTTGAATTCTTTAACTATTGTTCGGGTATGATTTATTTGATATACTTTTACCATATAAATATAGATAAGTGAGCGGATAAAAGTAGATAATAAAGACTGCATAAAAAATTGTATTACAAAATGTATGTGGAAGTCATACAAAACTATTATCTTTTAACAGTTTAATATTAACAACACAGCTAAAAAATTTTAATTAATTGAGACAATTTTCATATTTTATGTATTCTCATACAAATATTACTATTTTTATATTTACCGCTAACGAAATTTGAACTGTTCGAATTTCCATCGCCTAAAACATAAAAAATGCTTGCATTGCTTTAGCTAATGCAAAAAATAATATTTACCACAAAAGTTTGTTTTAAAATATATTATTCTTCTATTATTTTGTCTGTGTTTTTCATTGGTGTTTTTAACTGAACAACTATGCTCAAAGAAAATCTAAACAGTGTAATTGATGATTATAAGCTTTTCATCAAACTACATTCAAAATAACTAACTGCAAACATTGTGAACATTTTTTCATCTACTAATTTTTGCTTTATTATATCTGTTGTATTTTTTCATGCATGTATAAATTATAAGCATTTATAGATTTGATGGTAATAAATTTGATATACGATTTATAAAATTACTACTGAAAAAGTTGTAAGACAAAATTGGTGAGTAAATAGAAAAGTATTTCAGTTTATCAAATAATAATTCTAATAATTCGATCTTTTAACAAAAATTATGATGAGTAACAAGGAAACGTAATAAGAACTTCAATTGCAAAATGAAACCTGAAGATTAAAAGTTTGTCGTAGCAGCACAAAAAGATTGAAAAATGCTATAATCTGTTCAGTACTTACTGCTGACAGCAATCAGTTTGTGCTAGCAAGAGAACAATAACAAGTTGTTGGTTTATCAGTCTTTGAAGGTTGCGAAGATTTTCAAATGCCTTCTGCCAAGGCAGAAACGGCTCATAATATCTTCAAAATTAGAGTTCAAGAGATTTTAAAGTTCATATGATTTTTTGTTTTCTAATATTTCTTTCATTTCGATCATTTTAATTTCTTATTTGAAGTATTACAGAAAGAAATGCTGATTCTTGAGAATTTCTTTTCTAGTTTGAGTGATTGCACCAATTTGACTTTGCACTGAGTTTAGCATGAAATCTTTTTTAAATTATTTTGCTACTTACTGCTCTTTTGTTCATTTATAATTTTCTTTCATCAAATTTGTTACTTTTTATATAGTGAAAATGATTATTGTTATATACTATCACAAATTTGGAGCGAAAATATGACAAAGATTAGAAAAACTGCTCTGTCAATGCTGTAAATCATTTAATGCTAAGAACAGCGATTGTCTGGGTTGGCATTAACTACTGATGAGGTAAAAACTGTTTATCAAAAATATATTCATTCACCTTCAGATGAATGCTCTGAAAACAAATTCGTTTTATAAAGTTTCAATTTGGTCAGAAATAGTAATGATGATATTTTAAATTGCTATTTCTGACTAAATTGCAGAATTTTTCAGCTGCTAGCAACATCGATTACAATCATTACTTTCCAAAAGTGACACTTGTAGACACTTTATCAGCAAAAAAAGTAATATATTACCGTTGACTGTGGTTCAGTGCTGATAGTATAAAAAAGCAAAAAGCGCCGAGGAATTCAGATGTTTGCAATTTTCTGTTTTAAAATTTGGCATATTTTAAAGCAGGTAGTGTTGATAGTAATTTGACAAAGAAATATTTATTATAACCGCATACAAGAGAAAACGGCTAGAAAAAACATTACTGTCAGATAATTTTTTTAATATAATGAAAGTACTGAAAAAAAACTGCAACAAAATCAAAAATATTTCACATAATGTTTTCATTATGTAAGTTTTTGATCAAATTGTGTTGCATTCTAAAAATTCTTGTAAACAATTCAAAATAATTTCTAGAGTGCTGATTTTTCTACTCTAAAACAAAAGAGTGAGATACATCTTTTATTATTCAAAAAAAAAAGAAAAAATATAGGCTCTTCCAAGTGAAAATTTGAAGTTTTAAAACTGTGCTCTACTTTTTCGAATATCAAGAAAAACAAGTTGTGAACTGTTCTTCCATTAACAAACACTTATTATTCATGTTTCATTTTTTCGATCAAAATTTCCACTTGGAGATTTTCAAATTTTGAGATGTATTTTTTAATGCATCGAATTTAGCAGTGGTTTTTACAAGAATAATCCAGCCTCTTTTCAAACATACCATATTTAAACATCAATATAAATGTTACGGGTTCAATTGAGAACAATGAAATTGAAAGGAAAGAAATTTTAAATAATGATCGTGACAAATAGGTTGTTCAACTGCTACTATCAGTAATACGTTAGATTTCCCTTTCTCTGTTACATCGTCTCAATGAAAATTTTCCCAAAAGCCTATGTGATAATAATTACAGCAAGTCCAGCCATACTACGTCTGATGATAATCACATAATTCTTCAATTCATCAAATCATTTCGGCAAATGCGATGAAATGAAATTGAATCAAGGGCCAAAGGAATAAATAAGATTCATCTTTTCATATAGTTTAAATTATGTATTTATCAACGCACACGAATATAATAAATGAAGTCTTTAAAGCTCTTAAAATCTTTGAATTTATTTATTTCAATATTATTCTGATGATGCTAATTGCAACCCTGCAACAACACCAGTAGCTTTTTGCTTTTTCAATTTGGCCGCAGTATTGTGGGATAATATGCAATTACACTACTTTGCAACATTACGCACTTCTATACTAAATGAGTAATTTCCGTTAAAATCCGGTCGCGTATGAATTTGTCTAAACAAAATGGAAATAAATACTTGGGAAAGGAGATAACAAAGAGTGAACCAGCTGACAGTAGTGAAGAAATTTATGCAAATTGTTTATTTATTGTGTGATGATAAAAAAGGATTTTATCACAATTATATACAAAACATAGCACATTGATGGAAGAAAAGAAGAAAAGAACTGCGCATCTGAAAGCAACAACAAGCGAAGGAAACAGTATGAAAAGAACATTTGTATATAAAAATCATATTTTTGGCATAAATGAAAATCTATTTTACAGAAGAGATCAGTTTGAATTATTATTATTATTACAATATTAATAATGATCATAACAATATAACCTCTGCTACTAACATCAACACTAAAAAATGAATAATGGAAAAGTTTGTAATGTTTGTTTCGAAATATTTGATTAGGATGAAATGGTGTATGTTTCATGCAAAATATGATTAAATAAAGCAGCCAGAAGTTATTTGATATCCGTTCCTTATATCTGCAACGATAATATTTATTTTATGATGATGATAATAATGTTAATAAGAGTGACTGATATTGGTGACAATGATGACAGATATTGATGGGAATGATGGTGATAATGATAATGGTGATGAGGACGATGATAATGATGATGATGAAAAGTAGTGGTACAATCAGCATCAATTGTGACAATGATGGTGATGATGAGAAAGAAGATGTGATCGTCCTCTTTCTACAACGATGATCATCTATCTCTCCATCGTTTGCTGATCGCTACCATGAAATCCATTCTACTCTCGCGTTGTTTGAGGAGAGGAATCTATTTTTTTTCAGCGTTAATATTTATCACTCTATTTGCCCACCCACTTGACCATAGAAACCCCAATTTTTGGTGCTTTTCCCGAAATCTTTTTTCTGCCAATTTTGAACATCAATTTCATCTTAATTCCGTTCTATTCACTAATCTTTGTTTAATGGTTGAAATCTGTTAACGGTAGTTATTACTGGCTGGATACTATTTCATATATGTGTCATATGTAAATTATCAGGATTACGCATAAAATGAAAACCTTTTGCAAATCTTTTTTTCAGGCTTTGCATGACACCTATTATCATCGTTGTCATATGAAATTGTTGCCGATTTCTTTACACACATTCCTGTTTTCATTTTTTCTTACGATTTTGTATAGTGGATTAGTATCTGTTATAACAAGCAACATTTGTATCGTTCAGGTAATATGAAAAGATAAATTTCAATCATTTTATGCGTAGAAATGAAGAAAGGGAAAAGCATCAAATCAAATAGCCAAGAGCAAAATCAGTGAAAAGTGAAAAATCCTGTTTCACCCCTTGCAAGAAATATAGATGTTGGTGATATTTCGCTTTGTCAGGTTCCTTTCTTAGTGACTTATTTAGTGATATATGGAAGGTAGTGTTGTTGAGAAAAGCATCAGTAGATAACTTCGATATCATTAATTTTCAATTTTTAATTTATTGATAAGTTACAGATATCCAATGTACAGCAATATTCGGTGGTTTGATATAATCTGTGCTAGAAAACCATGATAGAGGTGAGAAAGTGTTATTTTGGAGCAATTGTCGCGTAATGAAGGAGTGGAGGGAAGCGAAAATTTCACGTGTAATTTTATTTACTCTAAAAGAAACAGCGCTTTGGTCAGTAATCTTAACTTCAACTACAACATCCCGCATTTACTTCATCGTTATGCTACTTTCTACTGCAGCTACTGTAAGTGCTGTGTTATTAACAACTGATCAACAGCGACAAGAACAAGATGAAGCTGCTATTTGTGCAAAAACTGATCTCTCACCAGCATCAGGTGTTATAATGATCATGATAATTGTTTTTTTGCATCCATCTCATGTTACTATAAGAAAGGATTCTAAAATTATTCATCGCATTGTATTTATCATCATTCAACCATTCGTATTTCTGTACAATAGCTTATTGAAAAAGCCTTTGTGCATTAAAATTTTCTTTTCAAAATTTTAAATGTAAGATTGCTTCACATTTTTAGAAAATCAACTATTGGGTTGTATAAGTTATTATCGTTTATTGCTACAAAAAGTAACTGATGAATTGGCGCGAATATCACATCGGAAACGCTTTTCTCCTGTTTCCGCTTCACTGCCAAATCGTGAATCGGCATTTCTCCTTAAACGTCTCAATGCAATACGCATGGCACATGAAGAACAAATACTAAATCGTTCAAACAGCGGAGCAAGTAATGAGGAAATGCACCAGAAACGGCGTAGACCATTTGTTCCCCGAGTAATCGTTTATCAATTTCTTGTTTTAGAAGAAATCAAATTGCAAGATTTTTGCAGTCTTGACATTGATTATTTTGTTATTTGTTCTAGAAAAACAATACCATTGAAGAATGCCGTCAATTATCGCAGCAAGAATTAGTTGTGGAATTAAAGCAGAAAGGAACTTATAATCCTGATTTGATGGCTTGGGATGCATCTGGAATTATTCGTTTTCTTGATCGTTCTATCGGTGATCAGTATGAAGTTTGTAAATTGTTACAGAAATCGAACAATTACTTCTTTAAATTTTTGTTTATTTAGGATGATCTAATGAATTTGATATTTGAGTGCATTTTAAGCTGGTAAATACCATTCCTTTCTAATTCAGTGTATTCAGACAAGAAATTGTATTGTAGAGACAGTCGAAAATCCGTCCAAGTGCAGAGGAAACTACGGAACGTAATGTGGAAGCATTAGAGCGGATATTGTCTGAATTGAATGTTAAGTGTGATTTACGTTCGCCCTCTGTGATTTCACGACTGCAAAACTTGACATCGTGAGAATTTATGACAAGAATATCAATGTTGACAAATAACTGCTTTATTTCACACTAATTGCTGATCTAAGCATTTTTCCAAAATGCAAAACAAAAAGTTTGAAGTTAAATGATTTTAATAAATAGGAAACACATCAAAAGAAGCAGTTTTAACTTTTTGACAAAAACTAGTGACTGTAAACTGAAATGATGCCACTGCAAGAAGGAAAGTATTTTTCTTGGAGAAATGTTATCAAATTTTCATGTCATTCTTACTGATGTAGTGACAATTTCTTATGGTGAGTAACTTGATACAGGATAGAGAGTCGACGAACAATTATCTCACCATCAATACGTACAATGGATTCAGAGCTGGTCCGCAATAAACGTGAAACTGCTGAGAGGGTTATTGATTCGCTAATAGCTTCTGGAGCAGTTGATCCATTTTCCAAAACTCATTCAACAATACGCAAACGTCAAAAACTTATCGGTTATCGCTTTTTTAACTTAACTTATTGGTGACTGCTACATATAAAATGCTAAATTATATTTGAAAAATACTTTTCATAATTTTAGATTTCGTGAGGTTAAAGTAAAACTTTGAAAACAGTGATCAACATTGGATGAAAGAGCTCAAGTTTAGTCGTTGACCAGCTTTTAACTCCAACCAATTTTTATATTTCATTAAAAATGTTAGGAGATGTGCATGTGATACCATTTGGATGTGATAAACGTGGTGGCGAAGAAGACGGTTATCTAAGATTATGCGGTGCTTGTCAAGCAATTCGTCGGTTACCAGACACATTTTTCCCCCCGTTCATTAATGAAGTTATGTGTGATAACGACAAAGCTTGCCTTTATTTCTATGATTTTCGTATGTTTATCTTTGATTTATTTATAATGTACTCAAAACTGGTGTAATCCATGGGATATAATTATTTTTTTGCTACAAAATTCCTCATATTTTGATGAAATTAGTTTTCAGCGACTTCTCTGAAATACGGGATGAAATGTAATGTTTCACTTTTCTGCTTTTTTATTAGAAGTAATTACAGTAGTAGAAACTTTTTATTACATCTGTTCACTAAATCATTTTCTTTGCAGTAAAGGATATAGAACTAAAATTTCAGCTCATGGAAAATGTAAGCAAAAACATATGAATTTTGTTGTATTAAGAAATGTTGGTACAGACGATTGCCAAATTTGGCAAAAATTCAACCTTAATGTACGAGTTTCTTGCGAATGCTTTGTTGGTTTGTCATTTCATTTTACATCTTAAAATTCTTGTTAGTTAGTTATTTACGTGCCTTGTACAAATGATAAGTTTTAAACATTCATTAAAAAGTGGAGGAGCAAAAAAGATTGTTGTAGAAAAAAGCATAGTCATGATTATATCAGGTTAAAAAATATTTTTCGAAAAAGCCGCATCCGTTTATATTTTACAAAGAATTTTGCTAGGTCAAGAAAGCACTATTTATAATTTTTTACAATTATTTATAAGCTGAAATGTTTACATGGAAAGTACCATATATACTTTAATATAAATATTAAATCTAGAGGATCAGTTATATAATTACATTATGTATTCATTATTTGCAGATGAGATGTCATTCTTTGCGAAGTATGTTTAAAAATTGGACCGTTAGAAGCTACTAGTTCGAAATGGATATGAAGTATTAGTCAAAAATCTAGGCAGCCTACTTAAGATTTTTTATCCAGTTTCTGATAATCAATGGAAAAATAGTGCTATCTATTGTTTTGATGTCATTTTGCACAAAAAGTTATCTAGTATGAGTTTTTGATTTATTTCTTGACGTTAATTTTATGTGCAAAAAGCTATAAAGTGTTTTCCAAATTTAAAGATTAAATTTTTATGAAGATATTCTCATATAATGCTGGAAATTGTGCAAAATTTCAAGTTATAATGAATTTTTATTGTATCTGAAATTCATTACAAATTGTCTTCAATTTTATTTATCATCATTCCACTGCAATTAATACAAGATTTCCCGCTATCTTTTTAGACTTTCATCTGATCAAAATCAGTATTTCATCAAATTGACACTATATTACATGCAAAATTTGAATCATAGCAAATATCATCGTGAACTGAAAGTCAGTTAAGTGTAGTATAAACTTAAAAAAGTTGCCAAATGTTCTTCAAAAAAATTTTATTGTATCATATTCGAATATTTCCAAATTTAAATATCTCCTTGCTGGTTCTTTAATTTACAATATAATTTAAAATAATGGAACAGATATATATCTAGACAGCTATACTGGTACATCAAGCTTCATAGTTTTCTCCTTGTATCTTTTTTGTAAAAAGTTGTCTTTTTTTTACAGCACAATTGCTAAAACTTCCTATACTATTGTTTCCAATTATCTTTTAACAATAATATTTTTTTTCTCACCATTTAAACTTACTTCATTTGATACAAGAATTTGTTTTGTCTGATCTGTTCTGCAAGCATGTCCGAAGCAGAAGAATGTTATATTATCATTTGTAATTAGCTTTTTTTTCTCTTTTTTGAATATATTTAGTACTCTGTAGTTGACGTGTAGTTAGGGGCATTGCATATCTCCATTTCGGAAGTTTATGGCAAAGAATAAATTTTTTGTTGCATTATTCCATTTGATCTTCCAGAAATGGAAACTTGGAAAAAAAATTCTTCTCTTTTATATGTCATTTTAGATTTATGAAGTTAATTTGAGACAAATTATTAAATTTAACGCTAAGATTTTTCATAATTCTACAAGTGTGATATTGATTAAATAAATTGAAATAAATCAGATGTGTCGAATTGTGTTAATCATGAATTTGGTTTTCTTGAAGTAACAGAAGTAAGAAGAAAAAAACAATTTCAAAAGATGAAATTGATATTATATCTAAGAAAACACTGATTCAAATATATATTTGATGTTTATTGAACGAATAACTATGAAGCAAATAGATAGATATATTAGAAGCAAAACTTATGATAAACATTGGAGACAAAGATTTTTTCTTAAAATAAATAACTATTCTGATGTAGTTGAATTTTTCGTATTCCTCATGAAAGTTTTTTTAATCATGCAAGCGTTGATTAAAAGTGTTAGTGTTGCAGGAAGTGATAAATTTTTCGTTCAGTTTTGACTGCGAATTTTTTACAGAAGCATCTCTTGTCGTAATTAATTGAGGTCTCTGCAACTGCTAGTTGCATTCAACTCTTTTTTTTATTTTACTTGTTTGTTAGTTTTTAGCTAACGAATTTTCAATGTAGTCTTTCATATTTTATCAGATTATTTGCTAAATCAAATGTTCGAGCTTCATCTTTATACGTGACGGTTACTGATTTATTTAAGTTTTGAATATCTTAACTTCAAGATTTTGTATTTTCTGAACAGTTTAATCAAAGTTCATTATCTAGTTCACTTTTTCAACAAATATTTTATTTGCAATTTTTTTACATTATTTAAAACCATATATTGACTATATGCAACTTTCAGGTTATATTATAGGTACCTTTGCCTTACTGTGAGAATTAGGATTTCGACATATAATTTGATTTAAACTGTCATCGTTTTCAAAATTATTTGCTCCTTGAAGTTAATTTTTTTTCAAAGGTGTCTGTTTATTCAATTGAAGAACATGATATTTCTAAAAAAATTCTCGTGATCCCTTAAAGTATCGTACTCGATTGCTTAATGGAATTTAAAGTAAAATTACTGAAGCTATGAACTGTACTAAAGGTATACAAATAATTAAATCTATAAGTTTTAGTCGAGTTATTCCATTTATCATCTTCTTTCAAGTTTGTATTATTCTGATAATATTTGCATTTTATATTATTTCAATTTAAAAAATAATAGAATAAATTACACATCAATATTTCTTTGAAAATTACTTTAATTATTAATATTTCGCTACAAGCTTCAGAGAAAATCAGTATTGAGTGAAAAGAAATTTAATTTTACAGCTAATAAAAATAGTGATAAACATGAGATTTTCACTATTGTGGTTTATAGGTAAAACTAATACATCCATGTAAATAATGAATATATCTAATTAATACTTATTCAATCCGAAAGGCTTGGGCTATTTACGAAAGAATGTAGTTTTATGATTAGTAAAATGTTAAAGATTTTTTAATTTCGCTAATTTAATAGCAGAAATAACAAATTGTAATTTATTTGTTCTTTCAAAGTTAAAAGTTTTTTTTCACAGTTAACGAAGTACAGCTGAATGAACAACAGTTGGGAATAATACTAGGTGCAATTTAAAAATTTAGAAAAATTTTTCATTGCTGTTAATTTTTTTAATTGCTCTATGACTACTGTTAATTATGATTCAATCCTTCATATTTATTTATTCAATGTCTAATAACATCTTTTGCTTAGCTTTTCTTCATATTTATCCAAAGATATTTTTAGATAAATATAAATATGAAAACAAAATGTTATTAGTTTGCCATTATTCGTACTAAAATGTTTGATATTGTTTATCAATTTATAGGTGTCAACTTCAAAAAAATCTATCGTAATTCAAAAAAGGCTATCTATTCTGTTTAGTTCTCTTTTTTTTTTCATTTTTGACTGCTGTCAATTTGTGTTGATTAGCATCAAAATGAAGCAGTATCTAAATGCGATAAAATTTAGAAGTTACGGAAATTGAATTATGCAAATGTGCTAGAAAAGGAAAATTGTTAGATGGAAATATGAAATTAATGTGAATCTGTTTTCTTCAACAATGCATTCTCTGCTGTGCTCTGAATCTGAATGTTTTTATAATTTTTTCATAGTTAGGCTTTTCTTACTTTTACTACTTTTTGACTTTTTGTCGTTTTTTTTTTGTTCAAGTCTATTCATTCTAAGTTAATTTTAAAAAAATAATTTAGTATTTGCTTTCTGTTTCTGATCGCATTCCAATGAAATGAAATTTTCCTATGCAACCGATAAATTTATTGAATTAAAGGCAATATTTCTTTGCAGCACGAATGCAAATTTTCATACATAAATATGAATTGAATTTTAAACAAAGAAATGCATAGCAAAAGTTGCAAACAATGAAATAAATTAAAATTAAATTTTTTGACATCTTTATTTTTTATTATTTTTAATGATCTCAATAAAAATTAACTCATGCATGCATATGTAAATAAAATATTTTATTTTGTCTTCGTATTTGATAGATAGGCATTATTAAAAATTAATTAAACGTGACAATTGGGAAAGTATATTTTTAACAAGTTTCATCCAAAATAAATCATTTTATCTTATCTGAGATTTAAAATTTACTACATAAATCATATTTAAAATTAACCGAAGTGAGTGAGCCGTAATCTTAAATGACCTAGAAGTAATATCATTTCTAAAGATAACATCATAATATCGTCAACTGTGAAATTAAAGAGTTTGATTCGTTTAAAAATGATTACTTTAACTGCTTACAAAAAGTACCATAAATTTTCAAATTTCAATTTTCCATCAAGTTTGTAGTTGCTTAGCAAATCATTCAAAATTTGCAAATTAAAGGCATCTTGTACAATGAAACTGAATACAAAACTTATTGATTCTGTATTTAGCGCATAATTTCAAAGATCTCTCTAAAATAATGCTACAAAATGGCATTGTATAAACGATACTATAATCACTGTGCAAAGCAGTTCATCTTTCAACATCTTCTTAGTTTTTAATAATATTCTGCAGGAAAGAAGGAAAATACTGTATGAAGCAGTTTCAAAATGAGCTCTGCAATTCATTTTTAATTGATCTTCTGTCTGATTAGTTAAGATACATTCTCAACATTTCGTAGCATGCAATATTTTTTCTCTAAAAATAGCTGTGCATTTAATTTTTGCATTTGTTACATATTTATCCTTAAACATCAAACTCTTTGTGCATGCAAGTATAAGAAAAATATGTAAATTGTAAAACTAATCATCTTAATCCTTATTTTTTTCATTTAAACACTTGCTATCAATTTAAAAAAATTACCATACATTTTAGCTTTTTGTGTAGAAATGATTATAAGAAGCACAAATTTCGTCTAAATTTCTATTGTACTTCTATCATTTGAAGGCGGAAACATTAAATCCTTGAATCTTTTTCACGATTTCATGATATTTTATATTTTTATTGATTGCTATCTTTGCCATAAAGAAAATTTTAATATATTGCTAAATTTTACTAGAAATCTGATATATCAAACATAAACAGCAGACATATTAAGAAAGATCAAATTACAGTTAAAAAACTGAACCTGAGCAATTTTATAGCAATATATTTGAAGGGAATGTAGGAATTACTTTTTTTTTATTCTGGTAATTCTGAACTGCATTTGTTTTCTAGAAGAGGACGATTCTTTCTGTAGAGTTGAACAAAGTGTATGGATTTATTAATTATATACAATTTCTGTTATTATTGCTTGTAAATCAGTAAAACTAAACTTATTTGTAAGTCATAATTAGTCTCTTTTTTCAATTCGATGATCGCATTGTTTGCTAAATTCTTTTTGAATATACAAAATCCTTTGAGTTCTAAGTAAAAAGTTTAGCAAGAAATGTCAGTGTGATAAATTGAGCCTGTGCGAACGAAATGCAAAACAAGGAAGCTTTGCATAGATAATGCGTTCTGAAAAGAAAAAAAATTGTCATTTGTCAATCATATCAAACGTGTAAAATCGATTATGCTTAATCTTCTTACGCTAGACTTACGGACATTTCCACTCCTACCTGTACTTTCCTTTAAATTCTAGTAATTTTGGTAAATGATTAAATTATATGAAATATTAACGTTTTATTTTGGCAAAGGTAAAACTTGCACAGCTACACTTTCTATGATTAAATTTGACTGAAAGTTACAGATTTTGAAAATCATCAATTGTTTTTTATGGCACTTCATTGCCATTTTTTTCAATTAATTATAGTAATCATTAGGTTATTAT